CCACATTATTGGGCGACCCACCGTAGATGCATCCCGCCACATTATTGGGCGACCCATCGTAGATGCATCCCGCCACATTATTGGGCGACCCACCGTAGATGCATCCCGCCACATTATTGGGCGACCCATCGTAGATGCATCCCGCCGTGTATTGGGCGACCCACCGTAGATGCATCCCGCCACATTATTGGGCGATCCATCGTAGATGCATCCCGCCGTGTATTGGGCAACCCACCGTAGATGCATCCCGCCACATTATTGGGCGACCCACCGTAGATGCATCCCGCCACATTATTGGGCGTCCCACCGTAGATGCATCCCGCCACATTATTGGGCGACCCACCGTAGATGCATCCCGCCACATTATTGGGCGACCCACCGTAGATGCATCCCGCCACATTATTGGGTGACCCACCGTAAATGCATCCCGCCACATTATTGGGTGACCCACCGTAAATGCATCCCACCATAATCGCTCGTACGATTAATGAAAGCTGTGTTACTGTGGTTGACATAAGTATTTTGCCAACAAAAGTCTTAAACATGTGCTGACTCCGGTGTGAACGAGACTGAGGAGAATGCTCGAAGGGTAACACTCGCATACTAATCAGCACAAAGGGCAGACACTTTAACACATTGAGCCATTATATACATGTACATATACATTTGTACCTCATGCGTGGAAAATCATCCGAAATGTTCTTTGGCCAACAACATGCAACCATAGATCGACCATCTCCAAGAATTTAGCATTTGTCAATGATTGAGCAAATGGCAATCGCTAATATCAATACTGTCCAATACTAGCCAAGAGCAAGTCTGTCCCTTGCTACCTGTGCGGTCGGTCATCTTTTGTTAGAACAGGCCTGTTTCTTAAATTTGTTTAATGTATTTATTCGTGTTCGTACTGTGTTTATCTTCTGACGATGTTAACTACTGATCAACTCTACATATGTACCTGGAGATGACGATGGTGTTTTAACACCGAAACATGCCCTGAATTGACATATTTTATCGAGCTGTGACGAGAATACGTAAGTAATTTAGTATTACACTGAATAGGAGGTCAAATATGTAATTTCAGTCTGTAAATGGTGTTGTGATTGTCCAATAAAATTTAGTGCAAGATGGTTTGAATTATTTTCCAATGTGATAATGTATTTTTCACAAGATTTTGTAATTTCTTCTTTGACTGTTCGAATGTTAAGATCACTATGATGTTGTTCTGTTGGTAACAAACCAAGGTGCGTTGACAATTTTACGTAGTAATTTTTATTGGTAACGTTGAATAATTTCATTGTTTAAGGTACTGGCTGATCCCCAAAGCTGAATCCCATAGGTCCAAATTGGTTTTTTAACTGTTTTGTACAGTAACAATTTATTTTGTGTACTAAGTTTTGATTTAGATCAAAGAAACCAATTAAGTTTAGTTGTTTTTAAACTTAGATGTTACTTTTAGTCCAGTAATGTGCCTTCCAAAGAGGCTTTGCATCTAAGTGCATGCCCAAGTATTTTGTTTCTGTTACTTGAGGGAGGTGAATATTGTTCATGGATAGTGGAGAAAATGTAGCCTGAGAGATTTAATAGAAGAGATTAAATACATATTGCAAGCAGACAACTGTTACAACTAGTTTTATAACCGGTCAACACACAGCAGGTCAAACACCTACTGGTATTTGGTCGTAGGAGAAACTGAAAACTGGAAGTTGAACTATAACTTTTACACACAGATTTGATTAATAAAATCGTAGAAATTAAAATTCAATACGATAGAATATACAAGCTTTTCCCTCGTCAGACTACTTCATACTTTTCAGTACTTTAAGGCAACGTAACAGTGAACCCAAGGTCGAATTATTATGGTAATAGCAAGGTAACGGGCTCTACCACCTCGTATTATTAAACCGATTTGCTCTTGGCTATAGTTTTGTTTAGTTGATAAAACTAAGCATGGATGAAATTACAGAATTAACAGTAGTCCCTTTATTCTGTGATAAAATATAGCGCATTTTAATCTTTATGGTCTAGAGGGTCTCTTTTCAAAACTAAGCAAAGGTTGGTAAAGGAGCAATGGTCGAAGGAACATTTTTGCCCATGGGGTGAATTCAATCTTTCGTTATGCTGCACTGTTAAGGTAACACATTTAAATAAATATTCCTAGATCTAATGGAATTATATCCTATTAATCTAATAGCTTTTCAATCAGCATACAGTATGTTTATAAACCGTATAACTTTTACAAGATAAATATTTTAATGACATAAACTAATTTCACCAAAACGTATTTTTCAAGGAAATATTTCTTGATCTAGCCCTGATTTAGCTTAAATTATCGGGTCTTTATCTTTGCTTTTACAACACAAATAAAATGTTGTAATTTACCAGGTTCGAACGTATGCAAGATCAAAGATCCACTTTACTAATGACAAAGAATGACAATAACTACTAATCTACTAATAATCTCAATAAGCTGAGTGACTGCTCCCATGTCAATATAGATGATATCGCCCTTCACACCTGTACATTTGTACAATCAACCGATGGTGCAACTAAAATCAGAAGAAAAACATCGTGGGACTACAGTTGCGTCCCATACTTGATAGCGCCTGAGACGATATCCCAAGTCCCATTGTTAACTAATTCTGTTTTGCAACTCATTTTTAGAAGCCGGTATTATATCGCAATAAAGAGTGTTGTGAGCCAAATCTTGCTAATAGATGAAAATTCTACGTGACATGTCCTTCCGCATTAGGTTTTCTGTTAATATGTTTCTTTTATTTAACTATCTTTACTATGATTGTTCTTAGTTAATTGTGTAGTTTCCCATGCAGAAAATGACAAGATTTCAAAACATCTCACTACCGGTTACTGTCTGTCACCTGTGTTTTGTGTCTCGATCTAAACTAACAGCTATGAATTATTTGGTTAGTTATTTCTTTCGTTTTAGCGAATTTCCCTATAGGGAAGTAGTTTAAAGGGTGGCACCGTAAGACCTAGGCCAGAGACCTATATACTTTTTCATTTTTATTTTCCTATAGGCCAAAACCTATATATATATATCCGTGAACGCGATAACTTGAGTAATTTTTCAACGATTTTCATAAAATTTGGCTTGAAGATGTAAGGCGGGATAAATTTGAATGAGTTCGCAAATCAGCATTATTGGACCATAGGATTGTTAACGTTTACGGGGGGTTTTATAGGGTACAAATTGGTTTTTCTTATTTCTGACCACCAAAACATGAAATTTCCCAATTACTCTTTAAACCATTTAAAAAAGTTAAAAACAAATATTTTAGTAGATGGAAGTGTCTTTTTATGGTTATTGGTTACGGATAATAAAAAAAATTTGAATTTCAAATTCCATGTTATTCTTATGGAGAATAAGTTATCTTTTGTGGATTGCTTATTTATGGCTATATTTTTAACAAACTTGGCAAATTTGTTTATTTTATACTACGTTTTTAATATTTTGCTAAAATACACACTTTATTGCCCTCCCTGTAGCAGCAAACCTAGGTACTTGTTAAACCTTATGTTATTTAAATAGATTTAATTGAAAGTCCAATCGCGCACGGTAAATGGAAATTCGCTTAGTCTCCTGGTTTGCTGGGACTGGGGTATTTAGTATTACGTTATTTTTTAATTTTGTAGGGCTAACAGCCTAAGTTTTGTATTTACTGGGAAAGATTTAAAAGGAGGTTTACTCATTGCCCATTGTAGTATTTTAATGAGCAAACCCTTTTTTATATGATAAGTTCTAATAACAATAATTTTAGGAAAGCCTATAACTTGTAAATAGTTCACAAGAAGTAATTGTAAAATAATTAATTAAATAGTTAATAATAAAACATCAAAATATTATGTAGATACTTAGTTTTGAAACAGTTCGATGCTTCTGATGTGACCACAACGATTAACAAATGATTATGTGAACATAATGACGAAATATTGAAATCGCGTTTGACTTAAATCTATCTCACGTTAAAATTCCGAAAAAAGTGGCTCTGGAAGTGTCGAGTACGAACGGGATTATCACTGAATCATAACAAATGAGGACGACCGGAACCACGGTTGAAGCAAGGGCGCACAGTGAAAATACCACGGACAGAGATGGATTATATGCAAGAGATAAAATGTGTGAAAGGCTATAAACAATTAGGCTCAAACTGAAGTGTTTAACTTAGGATGATACGATAAAAATATAAAGCTACAGCACTGATGAGAAATGTAGTAAGCTGTAAGTTAGGAAAGCTTTGACACATGGTATTTACATATATTACTATAACAGTAGGAAGGTGATAGATTTTGTTTTTAATTGTTTAGTCAAGAATAGATCAAATATATAATTCTAAGAAAAGCTTTATAAGAATGATAAGCGGTGAATGCTGTTATTTGCCAATCTGATAAGGTGTGAGGATCAGTTAAGAAATATAGTATGTAATTACTACGAAACTGATAAATTTAAGGCTGATACGTTTCAAATTCCTTGAGTTATCAAATTGAGACTACAAGATTAAATACGCGTTTAAAGTACGTTGATCCATAGTGGTTAGAGATGAGCTTTCTTACGAAATTGCTAAGATACCAATGTTATGGCTTACTTGCCAACTAACTTATAAGTTAAACTTGCTTTAAATCTATGGTGGCTTGAACATTTGTAGAACATTTAGACAGGACAATATAACGATATTTGACAATGCCTGTAAGCTTAGTCTACAATTGATTTGCATTAGAATTGTTGGTAAATGAAAATCACATTACACATGGTAGTGTAACCTCTTGCTAATAGTGTTGAAAAGATCGTTCTTCAAAATGTTTGATGATGTTATGGACACATTTGATCGTATAAGTAAACCATTGTCAATACTATTATGTGGTTGTTATGATAATTTCGAGGTGTACAACTGTTTAATTTTATAGGTAAAACATACATAGCCTAAATGAATAATATGTAGAGACGATCCTTTGAAAAGTAATTGTCAGTTATATTTTCTTACCCAATATAGTTTATATCCAGGTAGTAGCAGTCATCCACTCTTTCGGCCAGCGCTAAGGCACAGACTAACCGACTATAGGTTGAGGGGGGCCTAGTATAGACCACAGCCCCTCTCACTCACTCACACACACTCTCTCTCTCTCCCTCTCTCTCTCTCCCCCGTCATAGTAGTCGACGAAAAACCTCCTCGAACACCTCTCGCAGACTCTCTTGTTACAGTATCTTTCTTTCTCCAAAACATTGTATCAAAACTGAGGGCCCCACACTCCCTTTTGCAACATATCACATAAAGTTCACATAAGAAACATTCGCTTGTGAGGGCCCAGCTTTTCTAGTGACCTAGGACACATTCAGCGGCCCTTTTAAAAAAAGGGCTTTTTGTTCTTTTTCTCATGACATAGGTAATATTAATAGTTGTAGATTGTATTGGGTTAATATTACTTAGGTAATATTAACCCAATACAATCAAAAACTATAATAAATATTAAACTACTGATCTTTTAGAAGGAGAAGAACACTCCAGGGCAAAAAGAACAGCCCTGATAACAGTTTAGGACGTGCAGAGGAGCCAAAGAAAAGAGAAGTAGCTCATGACAAACAGCATACAGTAGCTCAGAAAAGAGTAACAGCCCTGGGAAAGAGGGAGAACCCAGTGCGAGAAGAATAGCACTGGACTAGGAGTTAGCCTAGAACGAATAGGAGAGTTCATAACAAGAAATTCAGCCCTGGACTAGAGGGAGATCTGAGGGCAAAGAGTGGCAGCCTCCTGGGCTTCCTCTTTGGTTCAGGGCTGTTCTTCTTGCTCTGGTCTGCTTCTCTTATCCTGGGCCGCTTTTCTCGTTCTCTGTTCTCCCTTCAAACAAGGCCTGCTTTCACCCTGGGTTACCCCATCTCGCTCGGGGCTTTTAGCTAAGGACTGCCTCTCTCATCCTGAGCTCTCTCTCCAACCAAGGCTGTTATTCTCAACGGACTGCCTCTTTGTCCTGTGCTGCCACTCTGGTCCTAGACTCTCGCTCAAATCCAGGGCTATACATCTCGCCTTGGGCTGCCTCCCACGTCTTTTGCCACCCCTCTCACCCTTGGTTCCCCTTTGGCAGCCCAGGACTAGAGAGATCTCTTCACAAGAACTTCAGCCTAGGACGTAAAGGACAACCCTGAACGATAAGGTTATATCAGTACTACGAACAGAGTTGCCCGGCATTAATGAGGACAATATGGACGATTCAAAACAAAAGTGGGAACGGGGCATTCTTAGATGAGGAACCCTAAATGAGTAGGACAGCCCAGGACTAGGACAGCCTAGGACTAGGCTATTGCAGGACTAGGACAGCCCAGGACTAGGACAGCCCAGGACTAGGACAGCCTAGGACTAGGCCATTACAGGACTAGGACAGCCCAGAACTAGAGCAACAGGACTAGGCCAGCACAGGACTAGGACAGCCTCGGACTGGGACAGCCCAGGACTAGGGCAGCACAGGACTAGGACAGCCCAGGACTAGGACAGCCTAGGACTAGGCCATTACAGGACTAGGACAGCCCAGAACTAGAGCAACAGGACTAGGCCAGCACAGGACTAGGACAGCCTCGGACTGGGACAGCCCAGGACTAGGACAGCCTCGGACTAGGACAGCCCAGGACTAGGACAGCCCAGGACTAGGACAGCCAAGCTGAAAACCATCTTATAATTGATGATCCTTGACTGCCATCCCTTCTCTTATTTACAAACCAATCATTTGTATTAAAAAGTATAATACAACCATTACCTGAAAGATTTATGTAGATAAATCCACGCGTGGTGGAGATAGCAAGATAATTTGACCTTGAAATATTGAGTAATATGGCCTTGATTGTCATCCTGGACTGATCTGTCTGTATAGCGTAATTGTCAGTAATTGTAAATAATTGTTTGTTTAAATAGTTGAGTTTCCTTGGTGTTTCCTATAATAACCAAAATAACAGTTTTTAAATAAGTGTATGTCTGAGTTCTTACGTTGACTTTGTATTCATAATTTGTATTTTAATATTGTCATAAAACGGATATTTTTAATGGTGGTATTAAATATGATTTTGTAACACCTACGAAAATCATTATCAAAATGAATTTATATTAGCTACATGCACAGTTGAATTTACAAAATAGATATTTAAGAACTGACCCGATGATCCTTACAGGCTGGGGAGTAACCTAAATGCATGTGATATTTATCTGGCACAAAGATTAAAAGTGTCATACCATGAAGTATAGAACGATAATGACATCAACGCTTCAAAATAAATAGCTGATCTAGCACGATTGCCGTTGAATTGATGTTAGGGTTCAATTTTAAAACCAATTTAAGGGTTGCAATAGTTTATCAACATAGTTTATGACTTTAAATTAAACATCAAATGTTGTATTTTTTTCCTACCACACCACAATCAGTAATACGCCGCAAGAAAACTCATAGCCAAGTTCTTTCTCTGTGTAATCTAATTAAAATGCGTCTCTTGCCATATTGATATCCAATCACTGCAAGTGTTAGACTGGCTTAGTTGGTCTCAATTAGGTTTGTGTTAGGATATGAGTTCGTATGCCAATAGTGACTTGGAATGCACTATTACTCCATTACACTTAATTATTGTGAGCTCTTTCATGTGAAAGTAGAGCCACCAATTAGGCAAAGGGGTATCAAGAACTGAACATTCCATACTCTTATTGAGACAAAAGTACTTTCCTGATTTTGGAGAAATGAAGTAAGAAATGTGTGAGAAATGAAAAAATATTCTCAAAACTCAATACTAAGAAGGCGACCCAGACCGACATTTCGTCTACTGCACTCAGGTCCTCCATGGACGTAGTTGCTAGTTCAGCGAAGCACCTCCCTTATTAAAGAAATTTCTCGCTCAAAACTCAATACTAAGAAGGCGACCCAGACCGACATTTCGTCTACTGCATTCAGGTCCTCTATGAACGTAGTTGCTAGTTCAGCGAAGCATCTCCCTTATTAAAGAAATTTCTCGCTCAAAACTCAATACTAAGAAGGCGACTCAGACCAACATTTTGTCTACTGCACTCAGGTCAATGAAGTAAGAAATATGTGAGAAATGAAAAACAATATTCTCAAAACTCAATACTAAGAAGGCGACCCAGACCGACATTTCGTCTACTGCACTCAGGTCCTCCATGGACGTAGTTGCTAGTTCAGCGAAGCACCTCCCTTATTAAAGAAATTTCTCGCTCAAAACTCAATACTAAGAAGGCGACCCAGACCGACATTTCGTCTACTGCATTCAGGTCCTCTATGAACGTAGTTGCTAGTTCAGCGAAGCATCTCCCTTATTAAAGAAATTTCTCGCTCAAAACTCAATACTAAGAAGGCGACTCAGACCAACATTTTGTCTACTGCACTCAGGTCAATGAAGTAAGAAATATGTGAGAAATGAAAAACAATATTCTCAAAACTCAATACTAAGAAGGCGACCCAGACCGACATTTCGTCTACTGCACTCAGGTCCTCCATGGACGTAGTTGCTAGTTCAGCGAAGCACAACTCTTATTAAAGAAATTTCTCGCTCAAAACTCAATACTAAGAAGGCGACCCAGACCGACAATTCGTCTACTGCACTCAGGTCCTCCATGGACGTAGTTGCTAGATCAGCGAAGCACAACTCTTATTAAAGAAATTTCTCGCTCAAAACTCAATACTAAGAAGGCGACCCAGACCGACATTTCGTCTACTGCACTCAGGTCCTCCATGGACGTAGTTGCTAGTTCAGCGAAGCACAACTCTTATTAAAGAAATTTCTCGCTCAAAACTCAATACTAAGAAGGCGACCCAGACCGACATTTCGTCTACTGCACTCAGGTCCTCCATGGACGTAGTTGCTAGTTCAGCGAAGCACAACTCTTATTAAAGAAATTTCTCGCTCAAAACTCAATACTAAGAAGGCGACCCAGACCGACAATTCGTCTACTGCACTCAGGTCCTCCATGGACGTAGTTGCTAGATCAGCGAAGCACCTCCCTTATTAAAGAAATTTCTCGAACGGGGTCAGTCGCGGAGACACCATCTGGGACTGTGTGGTAAAAGCATCTTTCCTGAAAGGAGAAAAGGCTATTGAGGCAAACGGAGGTCACCTCCAAGAAGAATGCGGCGGCGAAGGTTCAGTCGGCTTCTACTTGTGAAATGTCGCGGTCAAAAAAGTTCAGGACGAAGGTGATCATAGCAAGCCCTCAGGGGAAGATATTTTGCCGAGGTTTTAGGTTTAATCAAGGCCAAGGCTAACCCTGAGCAGACCAATACGATAGTGCGATCGATTAGAAACCCCCCAAGACGCGGACGTCAGCCTTTAACTGAGTGAGTCGAAAGATAAAGTCGCTTTTGCTGTCGAACCGAGGGTAGTTTTGGAAGGCCATGGCACTGTCCTTGCAAGTAGGGTGGAAGTAACGGTGCTTTAGGTGTCTCAGTTTCAGCCATTCCAAATGAGGGGCACGGGCAGGCAAGAGCTGCCTTCGGTGGAGTGGGATGGAATGGGTTACACCCGTAAGAACTGCAAAGTCAAGTCATGTGTCTAAGTAGTGAAGTGCATTTAAAACTGTACCTCAGCAAGAAAAACCCCGACCCACGAAGATAAAAAAACCATCAGTGCAATCTGGAGTGAAGGGATATGTTAAATGTTTATACAACCAATTAAACATTTATAATTATAAAAGCGAAAATATATTTAGGATCGTAATTTAGATGTACATATGACACCCCTCCAGTAAATAGAGTTAGAATACACAGTTTATAAACATATAATGGAAATAATTATATGGATATATATTCATGAACGATTTGTGAGAATCCAAATTCTGTTTATAACAAATAAATATACATTCTTACATTCAAAGTATACAAATTATAGGTAATTTTTAAACAAATTCGGCATCAATTAAATTCAACATCACCCTTGTGAGTGCCTGAGTATTTGAGTCTCCGTAAAGTAGTTTTTGTACAGAGAGATGCTCGTAAATGAAGGTGTTTTTATTTATTTATAAATATATGACAAATGTATTTTAATATAATTAAGAAATGTTGAGTAGTTGTAAACAAGTCCTGGTTTGAGCAAGTCCATAAGCTTGATTCTTCTCTTTTGATTTTTTAAAATATCAGGTTTGCAGAAATTCATACAAGCTAACATTTTACTCGCTAAATAAATCAAGACTATTGTTGGATGTAAACATAAGAGAGCTTTTTCAACACTTTATCGTTGAGCGGGTTTAGAATAAAACTGTCAAGTCTAGTATGGGGCTTCGTAAAAATAAAAGTGCTATGTGAACTTTTAATAGCCGCATTTATTATAAATAATAATTGTCTCATTTTACCAACCGAGTTTCAATTCAAACGACAATATAAGAACTCGTAGGGTCAAAGGTCAACTTAAGTTTTAATTTAGTTAAGTTAGGATACATTGATTTGCCCTAATCGAACCTTAGAAATATTTGTTAAGGTCAATATCGATAATATATCAAATATTTTAAATATATGAATAAGATATGAAAAAAATCAACTACAAAATGAAATAACATACAGAAATGCTAACTAACAGCTCTAAGGACCTGAACTGCACCCACTCCCACGGAACCCTTGAGAAAGTCCAAGAAGTTACTGAGGAGAATTCTCACTCTATTACGGAGGGGGTCGAGCACAGCGTGTGTCGCTAGGAGGGAAGACTCCCCGTGATGGATCTCCTTCACATTTTCCTTAGTAAGCTCCTCGTCTACACACCAGGAATAGACGTTAGGGTCTTTGTCGTATCGGAAGTACAAGACACCTGCGGAAGTTGCCGTTCCAATGATGATCATCTTCTCGGGTTTATTCTGTGAGACGACTTCCAACGTGCCTTCAGTAGTGCCTGCGCGAAGGTCTGCTACATTTAGAGAGTAGATGCCATTTCCGCAATGGTACGTCAGATAGAGTTTATTCACTCCCGGTTTGTTCTTGATCGTCGCAATGTAAAGGATGTCTCCAGATGCCTTGCACCCGTCAGATATGACTTCAGGAAGTACTGCTCGGTAACTGTAATCAGTGTCGGACAATTAGGTTAAATCAAAATCAGACATATGTTTACATCACGGACAAAATTCGTTTGCAACTAACTTTTACAAAATGAGTGGTACCTTATCATTTGGTTAGTTACCGATGCTTTTGGCTACGGCACAGCAAGTGGTGCCGACAAAACGCTGGCTGTAAGCCTAGTTTAGATATTAGTTTCGACGGTGCAGTGATTTTAAGCCATTGTACTTTATATTTTGTTCCACTTGGGTATCGGCATGTCTGTGATATCCCTTGGTATGTTTTGAACGTTTTAACATAGATATTTGAAATTCGGCATGGCTACGTTCACGTTGGTTGTTGATTGACAAATTGATTGAATCCTAATTCGTAAGTGTGAACTGTTTTTTAAAGGGTGGTAATTTAAAATAAGACTGCCGATCATCCTTCACAATCGTGTTTATATAACGATGTTGGAAGGTAGCTAAAATTAAACAACAAAGCAGATTAACTAAATTTACCCTGAGTCCTTATCCAGGTTGTAGACGATGACGGCATTCGCACCAGCGTCACTGACGAATAGAGTAATCTGCCCTGTCGAGTCCGTGTCCACGGCAAGGTATTGGAGACGTGAGTGTGGCAGTATGAACTCTTTTAACTCTATGGTATGCAATCTCTGCAAAGGTAAAATATAGGTGTTAGACTTTACAATATAAACTCTCCTCAAATAATGTTGGCATTTGTGAAGTAACGATACTATGTCAACCTTATCGTGAGCAGCACAGTACATATCCACAATATGTAAAAACTCTTGAGAACTTACAGTGCGAATGGTGAAGATAAAGTACTCGTAATCATTCTTAAAACTATTTCGTTTCATTTTGAGATTCGAAGTTGATTGGCTTTGTGTAATGTGTAGGGCCTTGAGGGCAAAACAGCCTTCAATGTGTTGGATGTGGTGAGCGGCATGCTTATAAAATTGGTCTGCCCCACAAGCCCACAATGTAGCCATGTTTACTCGACAGCCGATTGATCACCAGTGTAATAAAGTAAATTTATAATCTTAAATAATTAAAATGGCTGTCATTTTGATTAGGGGGGCGATATTGACCTCTGGTTTGCGCCATCCAATTTATCTTGTTAAATTCTTTAAAATGAGGGGTCACATGATAGGTGTTTACATTTGAAAATTTTGAGCTGCCCCCAAAATACCCCATTTTGGGGGCTGGGGCAAAGTTGTAACTTTGATGAAAAAGTGCAATTTCTTATGTTGTAAATATGTGCCGAGTTTGGTTTTCCTACTGCAACGCGTTAAACAGTTAACTGGGGGGTTCCAGACTTTTGCCTAACCCTGTATATCAAATGCTACTTTCATGACGCTCTAAACGTTTTCTTGTCCAGTATGTTATTGAGTAATAAATGTATTGTCTCGTGTGAAATGTTTATTCAGTTAGAATGTTTTGTTTGTTTATCACATTACGTAATGATCTCGGCCAATGAAATAATTATTCTATATATTGTGCAGATTCTTATTTGTTACTACAGAGTTCGCGCAAATTTATAACCTTTTCGGAATAGATTTTTCTTAGATTTTTTCCTTTATATGAATTTTGGTTACAAGTTGTAGTAAGTTATTACCTTGTTGCCAAACAATTAAGATACGAGTACATAATGTAAAATGCAATTTGATGGGGTTTATTTAGTGAAATATTGTAACCTATTGCCTGCTTCTTTAGACAGCTGGGAACGATGTTAGGTTTATTGGATTGTTAGGGTTTAAGGGAGTGGGAGTAGTTAGTTTAGCAAGGTAATGGTTCGCTCCTGCCTCCTCATAAATAAACTTTCGCCACCAACCAAGGTGAGCCGGTTTTGAAAACTTTCAGTCTCATTTGATCGGGATAAAATAGAACCAGGATTTTTGGGCTGTGAGAAAACCGAGAGCCCTTTAGAATCTACATACAATCTATTCAACACAATTAGTATGGACTGGGTGGTATTTTGAAGGTAGAATAACCAGCATGAGATGTAAAGCATTATCTTTCCAACTAACAGAATTTCCGAATTTAGTAGATAAAGAATGATTTGGAAGATTATGAAAAGTTCGATGATGGTAATAGTTGACATGAAACATGTAATAAAAAAATTTTTTTGCAAGTACTACTCGCAGTTAAAACATCATACTTTGTGTATACAACATATACTGAGATGAACAGTCAGATCAGATAAAAAAATTGAGTGTTTACAGATTTCGTAATACGTACCATACTGTAAAAAGAAGTGTTGACCTTTACATAGCTTGTCAGTGCTTGTAGTTTGTAGTAACTCATATGCCTGCTTTTATAACCACTGTTATAGTATTGAATACAGCAATTAAAGTACTGTTACTGATGAAGTAACATTACTATATATTATTATCGGCAATATATAATATCATATTACTTCATCTATCGTACTGTATTAGCTTACATATTTACACAATTTTTAAAACAAATCGTTAAGGATAGGAAACTTTTGCATTGTTCGTATTCCTAACAAGAAATATAGCATTAATTTACATTTACGAAACTATTTTCATATTTTGAATTTGCTCTACAAATGTGTGGAGTGAAATTTCTACTTCAGACCGTATTTTTATAAACACCTAACTTGTCAGAGTCTTACAAACCGTTAATGTCTCTGGGGAATTTGGTCACGGAAAGGCTCATGACCTTTATTGTGGCTGTCTTTGGTCATCTCCTCGTCATCTGATTAGCTAACTCCTGAGTCTTACAGAATGATGTGTTGCAAAGGTTACGAGATACGAATTGAAAGGGTAAGGATATTCGTCGATAGAACACTTATTAGAAGTTTAATTAGTGTAATTAGTAAATTAAAGTGGTCAAGTACAGTGTGACTAGTACTTGGTGCTCTATGATGTATGTAGTACTAAAAAAATTATGTAAGTGTTTTGTAAATCTAGTATGTTCGTTTTAAATCACTAATATTAAGATGATAAACCGGTTAAAGTTGAAATATTCGGTTAAATATCAAAGGTTTGGCTCCCGAATTCATTGTACATATTAAATATAATATGGGGTTAATTTTCTATTTTTTTCAGTTATCTTAAAGTTATGAACATTTGTTCTACACGACTATCAAGGAATGGTCCATTCTGATTTGTCAGTAATACTAAAAATAAAAATACATTCAAACAAGGAATTAGGGATTATCGTTTACAACAGTTCTATACATTCTTCGAAAGTACGATTGCTATGAAATGTATTAAAAGTGGAAAAACTAAGCTGCTATATAAAACCAGAGACACGTTGTTGGTGTTCACTACTCTCTAAATTTTATTGTTATATGTTCTAATCATGTTGTACATCTAAGTATCTTTTTCAAAGGAGGAATTCTGGTGAAATGTGCACGATGACGCTACGAGAGTCGCTACAAAAGTCCCTTACCTTTCCATTGGTGGGATCGAACCCAACAATCTTTGGAGCACATTTGAGCTTGGGAGCGGTCAAAGTGTCGACGATCCCATTGTCTAGAACCCACAGTGTATTTTTCGGACTCTGCTCCAAGACCACGTCGATGACGTTCTGCAGCCCGTTGGAGTCATTCTCCGTTTGAGCTTGCCAGGAGGGGAACGGCTCCCAGCTGGGCTCTCCGCTGGGGACGAGCAGCGAACTTTTGGCCAGGGTCGCGCATGCTCCTTCCCGATAACGCGGGAAAACCATGAACACCTGGAGGAAAACATGCATTGCTACATATTGCAGGATGTTCGAACCATTATGGGTCGAAATGAGTAAAATGAGTACATAAGAAAGAAGTTTATTTGTTCCACAATTATCAGGCCTACTTATTGAAATATTTGTCATTTTGCATCTTCCCTAAAAATATTTACCTAATAACCTTTTCGGTTCATTAATTTGGAATAAGTCACTAAAAAGACAAAATTGTTTCACTAATTGATTAATGGTACAAAGCCTTGGGCCATGTCTAGAGTAACTGCTGGATGATATAATTATGTTATGATATTTTTACAAAAACTATATTTTTAATGGTAGGTAAGCGTAGCTTTTGGGCACTATTTTTTATTTAATTTATTATTTTTTAAACCCGACTGATGATTGAAGAAGAACATTAAGGAACTGGAAATGATTCTGCATGAGTTGCAAAATAAAAGAGTGCACTTACAAAGAGTAAATAATAGTTATTTGTTGATTCACGTACATACTATACAATTCATAATAATAAAATACGAGAGATGAACCTAAATATAGGCATGCAAATTGTTTTATACCAAACACGTAGATGTCACTTACAGAACCATTAATCAAATAATAAAGGTTTAAATTTGTAGAATAATAACTTATTTTTAAGGAACAAAGTTATCAAACGCTACTCATAACAAATAACACGTTGTGCTTTTCTTTTCTCTTTGAATATATTGCTCGTATTAATACATAATCTTAAGTTTAAACACAGATTGTATCACTATTAAGGCCTAATGAAGTGGCAGGACATAATAAAAGACCTCAGTCTCATAGAGAACAATAATTTCCTGTTCCCAGCCCTCTAGCTGATAGACCTGCTCTGGCGATAGTGGCTATTTAGTCGTTTCTTATTTGACCGAAGCGGTTCTCCTAATCCTCCTAATGATAGAATCAATTTCATTAGTTTTTAAGTTCCTACACAAAATACAGTAGTGCATTTTTTGTATCTTGGCTATTTCACTGTTCCCAAAACTACAGATTCATTGGAAGAACCGACGAACGCTGTATGATCAAATGTTTAAAGACTACCTAACCATCGAGCAATATATTTACTCTACTAAAAATAATAATTACCTACCTGATCCCTGAACAAGGCAAACCTAGTGCCCACCATGTGACTCGGGTCAAAGTTTCCAGCGGACTTATACAGGTCTCTGGCAGCTTCGTTTGGCCACACCATGGGAGCGCCGGTCCAGGATAGGGTAAAAGGTTCTTTTGGGGGAGGAAAATCAGAGGCGTGAACCGAGGCAAGAGCACAGCAGAGCAGCAGTAGTAGCATCATCTGGGGTAGAAAAATAACATTAACATTGTACACAGTTGCATTTTCAGGCATTCCTCAAACTCCGCCCTTTTAAGTCATTACAAACTTATTTCAATCCAAACATTTAGTTTTTTTACTAATTGTGGTGGAAAATGTCCTGGAATAGTCTTAAATATCATCAACTTACTATCACCAAAATTAAACGTAAACAATGATTTATTTTCATATACTTCCTCCAACGATTTAACGACGCAATGTGTTGATTTGGAGTAGTCGCTAAAACCTTGATTAAATCGAATCACATTTAAAATACAATTATAGAAAAATTAATGTTTTTTATTACTTTACAATCCTGTAACACCATTATAGCAAAGTTAACGTGTTTAGAATCGTCGTAGTCATCGGTCACAGAGTTTGAGATTGTATTAGGAACCAACATCAATTATCAAAACTTAATAAAGCTTCGTACATTCCCCTTACCCGATCGTACATTCCCCTTACCCGAATTTCAGTTTTATTTACAATTTGTATTAAACATTCGTTGCTGTTCACATTGGTCTCAATAAAATTTGTATCTGATACCTGAACACTTGATGAAGAAAATCATAAAATTGTTGAATTCCAATATCAAAATCCCAAACAAAAAATTTTTATTTATATGTCGTTTGGATACCAAACACGTAATCATTAAGTTATAATTGCGAATTTTTATTTTTATTTGATCGATTATTCATTTAAAAATGGGTCTTGATTAGATGGTTGTTACCAAATTTTAACTATTTAGAGATAGAGTAAAAAGAAACTTTTGGATCCAAATTCCAATTCATAGATATCTACGTTAATATGATTTTTTTAGTGTAAAACAAAATTAACATATTCCTTCTAAATAGCTAATATTATTTATTTTTGAGATTTAAATTTTATATATATTTTTAAAGTTCAACGTCTTGTTTAAGCCAAAAATATTACAGAAAAGCTTTTGAACTTTACATGATTAAAACAGTCGATGTATTCGTAAAATCTTGTATATGTATGTAACCCGAATTAAAACATAATGGATTAAACAGTGGTTGCATTTATTTTAAAGGTGTGATTCAATGTCACTTACTTTACTTACTCTACTTACTTTACCAAGATTAACTTAAAATATACGTTTGAACTTTCTGAGATCGTGGCATAAAAAAAATTAAGTGTTTTTTAAATTTATATTTTGTTTTTGCTCAACTGAGTATGACAAAATATGTTAGCTACACATCATATTTAACTTGAAATATTCGCAACATTTAGGACACTTCATATCTTAAATTCTTATTCCAATCGAATTAGTTCTACTTTACGTATTATAATGTCTTACATTATACACAGTTATAATGCTAGACATAGTCTATGTTTGATGACTACAAGTATTTTCTGGAAATCCCCACTACAATTAGACCAAAACATTTCACGAACTAGTCTAATTCATCGTCTTTCAAAGCTTTTAGTTGTTTGGACAGGTGATCAACACATAAGAGCTGCCACAAACAACCACGATATGGCATAATAACATAGCTAAATATAAAACAAAATAGTGATATAAACACTAGTACCGTATTATACTAATTTGTGCCGATTTTCTCTGTAGCAAATGAGCTCAAGTAAGGTTAGGAACAACGGGATAAATTGTTATCCTTTAGATTAAAAACTTTTCCTTCTTATCTTATCGATTAAATACATTTCACATACCTTATTTCAAATTGTTCTTAAAGAAACAATACGGTTTATTTTAACCAATGGAACGGAAAAGGATTTTTTTCTAACGAGTTATTAGAAAGTCTTCAGTTTGGTACAGAAGAAATCTGGAGACTTTGCACTAGTTTAAATGGCAGGGAAAAATTAATACGCCAAAATGAAACGCAAAAACTGAAAAGTATGATGTTACGTGTTGAAATAACAAAGAGCAAATAATTTTGTATAAATTAATAGTTTTCTAGAACTAATAATGTAAATAATTTTATTTTCAATTAAATAGACTCAAGGTGCAACCCTCCGTTGAACCATGACACCATGACCTTTTTGAAATAAACTAAAATCCCCTTTTAAAATAAAAAATATCTATTTAAAATTTCAAAAATACAGGGTGATTTGTACTCAGTGTGACAAAAATCTTTTGGCGTGAGTACAAAGTAAATGAAGTGTGATGACGCATATCAAATGTTCCAAGTCTCAAAATTAGCTTCCCAAAAAAATATTTTATGTTTTTCAAAAATAACCATGCTTTTAAAATTAATACAGCGATATCTCAATTACCTGTATATGGATTTGAGTAGATAATGTCATTTTCGTGTTCTACATTAAATTTTGAACAAGAATAATGGAAAATGACGGAGGATCAGTTGTAAAAACTCCATTGTAAATAGATTCAAAGATAAAAATTAAGATATTTGATAAAAACTGTAAAAACAATGGTCTATTGCATTTTTCACACCCTGTATACAAGAAAGTGTCGGAATATGTTAAAAACTGCGCCATTTTATAAGCTTTCCAACTATATGCTACACTATTGAGGTTTAGATATTTTTTGTTTGTTTTAGTGGTTTGAATACCAGAAAACAGGGAACTTTTTTACTGTTTTTACTGTTCAAGCTGAAACAAAAATACAACTTTTGCTTAATACATGCCGACTTTCTATGTTTCAAATGTTAAAGACACCATGCTTTGTAGTCTTCAAACCATTAATGCGTACATAAGCAGGCATAAACCTCAATAGTGTAGCATATGGTTGGAAAGCTTATAAAATGGCGCAGTTTTTAACATATTCCGACACTTTCTTGTATACAGGGTGTGAAAAATGCAATAGACCATTGTTTTTACAATTATTGTTATCAAATATCTTAATTTTTATCTTTGAATCTATTTACAATGGAGTTTTTACAACTGATCCTCCGTCATTTTCCATTATTCTTGTTCAAAATTTAATGTAGAACACGAAAATGACATTATCTACTCAAATCCATATACAGGTAATTGAGAAATCGCTGTATTAAGTTTAAAAGCATGGTTATTTTTGAAAAACATAAAATATTTTTTTGGTAAGCTAATTTTGAGACTTGGAACATTTGATATGCATCATCATACTTCATTTACTTTGTACTTACGCCAAAAAAAATTTGTCACACTGAGTACAAATCACCCTGTATTCATGCGTTTCTTAGATACACATGTTTTAGGTAAGGGCACTAGTGACGGTAAGAAATAGGTGTTGAACAATAGGAAACAGAAAATGTCCCAAGCTACGGTACCTTCCTCTATTACGTTATGTTAAAAATATATGAGACCAACTAATTCGAATAAAACATTATTTAAATACAAGTTTCACCTTATTAAAGAAATCATCTTTATTGACATAAATTGTGAACAAGTAGGTCTACAATAGATTTATTTCAGATATCTGAAATGTAACGGATGAAAGATAGAAAAGATCTTACCTTGTGTAGTTTGACGGCTCTGTTTGAGTAAGATTGGTTCAAGTGGAGTGAATGGTATCAACAAAATTGCTGAGTGAAAAATAGCTGACGTAGCTGCTGATGTTTGGCATGCAATCCAAGCCATACGCGGTCCTCTAAACTAATAAACTGACCTTGAAATTCCCAGTCAGTTAACGCTGCCTTAGCATTCGATATTCTAAACATTGATTCAAGTACACACTACAAGATTCCTCTGATGTATTTGACAAAATGCCTATTAAGTTAGATGCTTTTTTCCTCGGAGAAAATCGTGCCAATCACCTCATTTCTGTCTAATTATCAAGAGAACAATACTTGCGCTGCAGCACTCCTGCAGACTAAGCAAACTTCCATTTGCCTGATTGGGTAAAAAAAAAAAAAAAAAAATGCTTCAATAAATACCATTACGTTTTATGAGTACTTTCGTTTCCTACTACAGGAAAGGTAAATTAAAGGGTGTTTTTAATTGAAATTTTGATGGTGTGGTATGAAATAAATAAATTTGTTCAAAATAAATCAATAAGCAAGCATACTACAACTAAAATATTTGACTTAATTTCAATAATAATAACTAGTTGTTAGTTTTTTAATCTAAAAAAAATTAGAAATCCCAATTTCTAACCCTGAAATCTCGTTCCCACAGTTCGATCATGCTGGTACTTGAACGTTTTCGAATGAACGTAGGTTTACAAGTTTGTACATTAATTAAAATCGGGTTGTTGATAAGCGAGTTACCATGCTAACAGATATACGTATGTATACACATTTGAACGGATGATGTTTTTGACCTCTGGAGGCATCAGAACGAAAAGTAAATCGGTCCCGGTTCTAGGTCATCATGAGGCCTACGATAATAGTCCCTATATGGGAAATTCGCTAAAAAGCAGGGACAACTTTTCGTGTGGTAAAATTTGTTGCATACGTTTTTAATTCGTTCGTACGGTAGATGACTCATCCAACTTAGCACCAACAGCAACATGAGTAACAAACACTTTGTATAGCTCCTTCTGTAAGCCGAAGGAATTATTATTTTCCTCCTACAATGTGTTTGCAACCGCACCAATCCACGCCCTAGATTCCTAACCTGATTGCGTTATATCTTGATGCAGTGGTGGTGTTACCTTTTGTGGAATATCTGGCGACTTTTCCTTGAGCGATTGGTATTGCTAAGCAATGGTCGAGATGTTGTTGAATTGACTGTGCCAGTCAATCATAAGTTACTTAAGGAGATAATGGAACTGTTGGTTTCGCGATGAAAATAAATAAATCCATTAAATATAAAGTTACAATAAGATGTCAAGTCGTAAGTTGTAAAATATTATCTCGTGGTTTCATGTCTTCTGTTTGGTTTTATTGAGTTTGAAGCGGGAAAAGTCCATATCATTGCTTAAAATGTTTCAATTGCGAATTTTATAAAGTCATAATAAATACGGGAGGCCTTTCAAAATTCAAAATTCGCGTTTTCCTGACAGTGGATAATGGAAAAGACTTAAATGTTCCTTCAATACTCTAGAACCTTTTACGCATGATTTTGGCAAATGTCTACACCATAGGGAATAAGCTATTCGTAGGTCTCAAGTAAGACCTAAACCCGGGGCCGATTTACTTTTTTAATGTGATGTCCACAGCAGCCAAAAATACTATCCGTTCAAATTCATGTACAGTAGAACCTTGATAACGAATTGTCTCAGGGGATGATAAAATAAGACTTGTTATTGAGGTTGAGTTCCTATAGAGGTTTTAAAAAGCATGTAATTGGGCGTAATATAAAATCAAGGGTATTTGAAAATGCTACTTGTTATCAAGGGTCAAATCAAGGCTGGGTGTAATCAAGGCTCCAGTGCATGGATATCTATGCTCGAGTAAAAATACCAAGACTTTGGTAATATTTGGCAGAAACATGCAAACCAACCTAGGTTTATGTTTTGAACAAGTTGCTAACCAGCATGATCGGACCATGGGGTAAAAATGGGGGTTATTTCCATTTCTGACCCAAAAAAAGTTTTGAAATTTCAATTTATTCCATTTTTTGACCCAAAAAAGTAATTTAGTATATTAAAGAGTTTGATGGTTACGGATAAACAGATGTAAATTAAAACTTCCCAGGTTATTCTTATGGGAAATAAATAATTGGTTGTATTTTGCTTGTAATTGTGGAAATTGTGTAATCAAATTTGTCTAATTCATTTATTGCATACTATACTATTGATAAATACTCATTTAGTTATTGAACTCAATTGTATTTAAAGAAGGATTGAATCCGAAAATTTTAAGGAAACATTGGAAGAAAAGCCAACCAGGCAATTGAAAATTAACTTATTATGTTTGCTGTGGTGGGGGTACCGGTACTATACTAATCACAATACTATATACAATTACAATACTACACTATAACATTTTCTACTGTATGTTGTTGAAATTGTTTTAATATCATCTTTAATCTGGGTTTAGCCTTTTGCTATTTTTATACTTATGTAACCATGCATTACTTCATTTCAGACTTGTACTGCTACACTGTATCGAGTGATTTTAAAGCCTCGATCAAAACAGGTTCCCCTATTTGTCACAACCAGTTAGTCCCCGACCTGCCTCAATGAGGAAAACCCTGCTTTATAAAAGTTGGTAGCCTTGGTATTGTAACAGGCATTGCAACTGCCAATTAGGAACGTTAATTGATTTGGGTTTGTAGGATATAATATTATTTTAATTTTAAAATAACTCTAATGATGAACCAAATCTCCCTAGCCACTTGGTCTGTGAGTGGCTGATAAGTGTAATGACGGGAGACTATTGAGACTATAATTACATATACATAGGCTACATACTGTAGTGAATATATATCTTACTAGTGTGGATTGTTTCAATACCTATCCATTGTAGACCTACATTAATTTAAATTTTACCCTATCTACGAAAGTTTGAATCTGTATAATCATTTATTCACTATCGAGCATAATTCTAACCACTCCAGTTAAACCACCCAGAGACAGTACTCACAGTCTTGATCTAGAAGTGTCAGTAAAATTTTACTTTTTTTTGCTTAGTTTGTTCATTTGTAGGAATTAATATTCTAAGATATACTTCAGCTTGTGTTGGAGAAATGTTTAAAAATTTGTTATATATGCATTTGTCTTATAGGGTTCAACAAACAGTTACATAATAGACATGTTGTGGCATGTGTTACATAACAGTTTTTCTTCCTTTTAAGATCTCTTTCCCCCAGCACAGAGGGATTATAGCAGGAGGCAATTCGGGGGATTATTAGTCTTAAAACTCTCGATTATATGTCTTGTAATTTATATTTTCTTCGACAAAGTGTATTTCGACTAAATCAGTTTCCTCCTAAACAACTCGACTATTGACACAGACTGAAAAATGACAATTAACACTAGAAGATGTATTTCCATTTAGATTGACTGGGGCTGCTTAGAGAAGCGCAGACTCAGCACCTTGAAGCGTCAAGTGCTGATTCTTCAATCGCTAGCACGTGTCAACAATCTGTGTAACCAACAATGACGTAAGGATATCATCGTATACACCATTTGACAGAATCGTGGACTCAGCACCTGGTAGCGTCAAGTGCTGATACTTCAATCGCTAGCACGTGTCAACAATGACGTGAGGATATCATAGTATAGACCATTTAACTATAATGTCAATAACTCAAAACATTAACGAGTTTTCCACAAAATTGTGAGAAAAATAAATTGCACGGAACGATGGTAATCGCAGTATCAATCGCAAATAACAGGTAAATACTGAGAGCTTCGTAGCCTCAGTGGCCACAGTCCATCTCTGAGGCAAATGTTGAAGTGTCCTTTCAGCAGTTTTGCCCGTCGAGTATTGTATTGTTCCGACAGTCTTTGAACACGCGAACTGTACATAAATCAACGGAATATATAAAAAAAAAAATCTACTATGACTCAGCAATTTTTCATCCAAAACAGAACTGTACGTTATATGAGCAGTGTTGTGATTTTCACTTATGTAACATCACGTATGAGAAGTTTCTCACGTGTGACCTCAGCACGGGTCTATATGACTACTCGATGTCCTCTGCGCCCATCACATGATGGCTACCCTACAGCTCTCTGCAGCAGGCCTACTGTTCCTCACATTCACTCTCCCTTGTTCGTCTCTAGTGAGGGACAACCAATATTTCCAGGACCTCTGTTTTCGTCTGACGGGACACAGTGTATGTTGGCCTTCTGAGGAGTTGAGGAACAACTACACGATCCAAGGGAACTACAATCCGGCTAACATAATTGTTACCAGGTGAGGACTCTTATTATTTATATATGCAATTCATTGTAAATCTAACGATGGATTGAGGTAAAGACTATGTCACTTTGGCATAGTTGTAAATTTAGCAACCCATGTTTTAATCGTATTGTATTATTTATATACTATTTACGCCACCTTATTTTAATTTCTTGGAGTTAAAAAATGTAACAACTACATTACTCTAGACAAAAAACTATTTATAAAAATTACAATAAAACAAACATTTTTTTCCTGAAATGTGACTGCGGAACCAGCGACGATGTATATCACGCTAAACAAGAAAGGCTTTGAGGTAGAATATCTTGTCCTAAGAGTGAAAGGTCAAAGCACCCCGTCACATTTGTTTGTATTCTTAAAAATCAATTTCACACATCGGCCTTAATAGCATAACAAATCACCAAGATCATTGAAAACTTAGCGTTTTTTATTAACTATACGAGTCGGTACTTATCAATTGACGCTCTCAAGTAATATATGTAAAACAATAATTACAAGGAGTTAACACTAATAAAAATAAAAACCCACTATAGAACTATGAATGATCAAATAACGTATTTTATTCATATTTAATGCATGTTTTACAATAAAAACTAATCATACTTTAATGTTAGAATAAAAAAGTGTGATATTAAATTATATTATTTACACATATTGCTCATTACACATAGAGGACTTTTAAGTATGTGTGATAAACAATAGGTGTGCTGCTTATCGGATATCACACTTTTATATTTGATCATTAAAGTACAATTAGTTAATATCTAGTAAAACATGTAGTAAATATTA